TGTCTTGGACAAACCCTTTTAAAGTCAGCTGAAAGAAATGGCAGATATATCAGCCTCCTGCAGTAAATGATAAATGAGTTCCAGGAAACCCACTCTTTCTAATGCAATAATCCACTCTGCTGAATAATGCTGTTTTTCTAAAGTGAATACAATCTTAGTGTTTACGTCATATTTTATGTATTACAAACTGCTTTGCAAAGAGGCTGGACGAGAAAAAGAGCATTTCATAGATTTTATACTGTTATGTACTAATAAAAAAAGAAACCCATTTTGCTGTGGGATTCAAGCAAAGAAGAGATGAGCAGTATTCAGATGTAGGAAATTTTCTTAGAAAGACTATTATTATGAATTAGTAGCTTTTATCTACTCTCCCATAACAAAATGGTCTAGCTCCATATCTTAATATTTGGATATTTCAAAATAATTTAGACAAATTTTATTCCATTGTTTATGTTGAATAAAATAAAGCTACAAGATGCTGAGGGTTTTTTTTGGGACTACAGGCTCCCGAGGGTAGTGGTCACAGCCCCAAGCCTGTCAGAGTTCAAGAAGCATTTGAACAACACTCTCAGGCACGTGGTGGGATTTTTGGGGCCATCTTGTGTGGAGCCAGGAGTTGGACTCAGTGATCTTTGTGGATCCCTTCCAACTCAGGAAATTCGGAGCCAGGAGCTGGACTCAATGATCTTTGTGGATCCCTTCCAACTCAGGAAATTCTGTTATTCTATGATTCTGTGATTCTATTCAGCATAATTTCTGGTGATAAAGTGAAAAAGAGAATTTGGGATCCCTTGCAGAAAACTGCGGTCCCCTTCTTTTTTTCCCCCTTTGATCTTGTATCTCAGCACACACAGAAACTTTCTGTTAGCTATGTAAGCATTCTTTTATTCAAATACTAATTTAACTTAGTGATTGCATTGAGAATGACCTGTGCTCTGGCATTTCATCTTTTCCATTTAGCACAGGGAACTTCTTAAAATTGATTAGCTCATAGCTCCTAAATCTTTCATAGTTTTGGCTTTTTTCTCTTCCCTCAGCGAGGAAGCTGCTGGTTTTAACCCATTCCGTGAATTTAGGGGAGTCTGTCACCTAGCCTTTCAGTGTCTGTGATGTTTAATGTTTCCTGGACTGTCCTTTGGCTTTTGAAAATCATCATTCCTGTGCTTTTTTTGTTACTGACGTGTAGGCGCTACGGCCACTGAAGCAGCCTGGCAGCAGTTTGGAGGGGAGGGAGCTGGGGAGGGGAAAGGTGCAGAGAGTGTTTTTGCCAGCTCTGCCAGTTGCATGGGAGAGAGGACAGAGCTGGGAGCTTTACAACCCTGCCACCGAGCAGCCAGCTGCCCACCCACAGGCTGCTGTGCCACCCCAGACAGACAGACAGACAGACATCTCCTCAGTGTCCGTGGGGCAGTGTGGCTCAGTGAGCTGAGAGCACAATCCGTGGGGATGCAGCTGGACCTCAGCGCCTGGGGACGGTGCCTCGCAGCTGCCGATTGGGAACACTAATCCACAGTCAGCCTGTGCTTTTCCACTCTCCACTGATGGGGTGAGCACGTTATCCTCGGAAAGGATTGACCCACAACAAAGCAGCTGAACCTGTGGGCATCACATCTGGCCAGTTTCCTTGGAGAGGCTTGGGAAGTAGGTGTTGCTTTCCCAGCCCGCCCCAGGTAAGTAATCTGATCTTAAACAAAGAAGCAGAGAGATGGCTGTTTTTCATTTAAAAATATGTTAAAGCAAAATATTTTTTTCTGTTGTTGTTTTGAAGGCATAAGGTTTGAATATTCTCGTGCTCTGTGCCTCCCTTGAGCTTCTGGATCTTGGGGGTGATAATGAGGGATTTAATTCTGGGCAGCAGGTGCTGGCAGCAGGGATGTGATGCAGTGCCTGTAATCGTGTTGTCGGGTTCATTTTGCACCATCTGGGTGTGAAAGGAGCAGTCAAGCCTTTAATTGCAGTCCTTGGGCATCTGGTACCTTCCTCCTGCTGCTGGAGGTGCAGCCGTGGTCAGGGGAAGACTCTGTGTGTTTCTGAGGCACATAGAGTTAAAGCTGGTGGCAGCGATGCCACTGCCAGTGTAGCCACTGTGCTGGGGATGGGTCCCTGGGGAGGGGAATGAGAAGGCTGTTCCCACTTCCACTGTTCACCCATCACCTTTTTCTACCAGCTCAGGAGAAAAGGAAAGTTGGTCTTTCAGTTGTCTGGGCTTCCTGTTCTAAATGGACGTGCTTTTCTGAATTTCAGATAGTCCCAGTTGAGGAGATGTAAAGCAGATGTGGTCACAGGGAATGTGACCTGTTGTTTGAGCAGGAGCCAGGCTTGTGCTGTGACTGCCCTCTGGGAATTGAACCAACACCTGCTGGAGACCTGGGCAAAGTGGGAGATACCCCTAAAAGACCAATAGCTGTATCAGCTCCTTGCTGTGTTTTTATGCGTGATCCAAGTGGTGGAAAAGACAAGAATGCAAACTCCATGATAGCAGTGGTCACAGTCACTATCACTCCAGTGTGGCAGGGCATGGCAGGAGGAGGCTCATGATCTCAGTGTGCTGCAGTGGTGGGAAAACAGTGTGAGAGAGGGAGAGCTATTTAACTAAGGAGTATGATTTCAAGCATTCACCTTGCGTAGTTTATCCAGACTTTTCCAGCCCTGCATTGTTGAGGTATTAGTGTCTGTCTAGTGGTGTGCTAAGATGTGATGAGCATCTATGGTTTCTGCAAACTTGCTCAGAAATGTCAGTGTATGTCTCCATTGAGAAAATGTCTCTATTGAGACTGAGATTTTTGTAGTGAATATGCAAATCTGTCAGTGACAATGATGTCACTGCATTGTTTTGTTTTTGTTGGGTTTTTTTTTTTTTTTTTTTAATTTAAGAGGTAAGAAAACCAAGCGGGTTCTGACTAGAGATGTTTTCAGATGTCAGTGTATTGTGCATGCCTCCAGCCATGCCTCCAGCTGGCAGCCAGCTTAGGGGTGAGGCTGGGGACCAACAAGTGATGGCACAATTCACCTGGAAACTACCACTGCCCAGGCAGGGGCTGGCACAGAAACACACCATCCCCTGCCTGAAAATCTCCCTGTTGTAAGGTGTGCCCTGCACTGTGTACTGGTCACGGAGGGGAGCTGTGGGGTGTGCTCCTGGCTTATGGAAGCTCCACTTTGGGATGTGATAGGAGAGTCAGGGATGTGTTGGCAGCAGGGGGCTGGGAGCATGGGTGGGTGGTATGGAGGGAGGGTGGGTGTTCCGCTTGCTTTGGAAGCACCCCTGGAAATCAAATACTCGAGGAGGTAAGATTGAAACTTACATTGTTTGTCACAGATCAAAATACTAAGTGTAGGCCATCTGTGTTTCTTGGCACTTTTTAAATGGTTTGTACTATAATGTGTACAGTACTCTGCCAGAGGAGCAGGGTATAATGTGCTAGTGAAGGACATGAGGGGTTTTTTTCCATCGTCCCTATTTTCCATTTTACCAGGGTACAAACTGTGTCCATCACACTGAGAGTGTGGGTGAAACCAGTCCAGTGGCACAGGGTACAGCACCAGCCCTCTGTTGTCCTATGTTATGCTGACTTTGAGGCCCAGAAACTCTTTGTCTGGTTTCTCTAAATAAATGTGCACCTATTTCCATGTTGCTCCAAACATGTTTGCACTTAGAAAGGAAGAGAAAGGTAAGGAAAAGCTAATTTGAATATTTTACCTGGAAATGGTATTGCCTAATGCTTATATTTAGAAATCAAGAGTCAGTTGCCTGGAGTTTTTACTGGCTTTGGCATAACTTTCTATTGACCTCAGAGAAAGCAGTAACTTTTCTATGCTTTCAAGAGCCTTTTTCCAAGATGCATGTAATATTCTTCTGCATATCATTCACCTTGAAGGGTGTTATAAGAATTAAAGCTCATAAAGCATTCTAAGATTTTTTAATGTAAATCACCTTAGGAGTGCAAATTAAATTATGTTGCCATCTACTACTACAAATTAACCTACAGATTTAGTTATAGCTGTTCTGAGATGGATTTAGAGGATAACATAAGGGTGAAAGACATTGTATTCCAGTATTGATCTCCATGATCATCTGGACCCTGTACCTATTACTCTTTGACTATGCAGAGTGTTTTGTACTGGTGGCTGTTAAGAAGCAGTGTGGTGATATTTCAAGAGAGGAAGACAAATAATTTGTAAATACACTGGATATCTTGAAGGTGTCTGAAATAATTAAATACTAAAGTGAGAAAAGCACAAATAAAGCTGAAATCTTCCCAAACTGGGCAGGTTCTGGATCCCACAGCTCAGAGTGATCAGTGGATAAATTTTCTGCAATTATATCAGAAAACTCTTTTCAGCTCTGATGGCTTGTTGGATGGGTCAGTGGAGCCTGGGCAGACAAATACACTCACAGTTTGCATGATGAGTGCTAAATCTGAATTGTTTCTGGGGTCAGTGGGGAGTGATGTCATCTTGGTGGGGAGAGCATAATTTCTCAGTGACAGCAAAGATGAGTGTTTCCCAATAGCAGGTTGTGATCTTTCCCAGAGGTGTCTTGGGATGGTTTTATACTCATGAGGGAACAGTCAGCTGCCTTTAATTGCTGACTGCACTCAATCCTTCCAGGGTAGAGGTTTGTATATTTATATCAGCAGCCAGTAACTATAACCTATTCTTGTTCCTTTGGCCAACAGTAGTTAACTCATCCTTGGCTAATTAAAGACCAGGAAACCTGGCGGGGGGAGAGAGGATGAGAATAGAAGTTAGGCTGAAAGAGAGTTATGCTCTCAGAAAGTTTAAGGATTTTCCCAACCAAGGTGAATGCGGGCACATTGAAAATGTGCTACTGTCTACATCCCTCCATCTTGCAACAGAAGTGCAATGTCTTCAGAGGTTCTGAGGAGTTTTTGTGATCCCCTCCCAATCCAATGTGAAGATGAACGCTCAGGGAAGAGCTGCTGTAGTGCTCTGTTTCTGAAAGCTGGCTGACAGCAGTGTTGTTTTCTGATCCATAGGTCCAATGGATGGCATAGCAATAGCATCACTGTCCAGGGAGCTGGAATCCTTCCTCGCCTGCCTGCATGCTGCTTGAACTGATCCCAGGCCTTTGTTTTTGGACTGAAGAAACCTGAAAACCTTTCTCTCCTAATTCATGAGCCAGCAGGATGTGGTCGCCGTGCTTTCAGAACGCCTGCTTGTAGCCGCCTACAAAGGCCAAGTGGAGAATGTGGTGCAGCTTATCAACAGGGGTGCCAAGGTAGCAGTTACCAAGGTAACGAGAGAAAAACGCTTTGCAAAACCCTGAGAACTAATGTAACTCTTCTAGACCATTGTCTGTGAAAATGCCCTCCTAGCTTTACCAATCTGAATGTGACTGAAGTTAGTGTTCAGATTTCCTTAAAGTTTGCACTTAATAGCTCACGCAGATTTGCAATATAGTGCACATCTTGTGTTTATACCCTTTGCAGTGGGTGCAGCTGTGATGAACGCTTAGTCCTTGCAAACACAGTGTGTCGACAGAGGGGAGCAACATTTTTCAAAGCATGCATTGACTTTTGAACGCTGTGTGACCTGATGAATGGAGCGATTCATCAATGTCAGGGGAAGGCAGTTCAGGGCACCCATCTCCCTGGGTGAGGGGATGGGGAAAAGCCACCTCTTGTGGCAGGGTAAAGGGATGCAGAAAGTGTTTCTTGCTGCTGAAGTCTCTTGGTGCAGCAGCCTCACTTATACCCAACCTCTTCACTGATTTGTTTTGTGTAGTTCCTTAGTCAGTTCCAAACTTGCGGGTTGCAAATTGTGTTCCCTGTACCTTTGAGAAAAGTCAGTGTCAAAGGATTTCTCCTTAGATACAAATAAGTTCAAACTGATATTCACCTATTCCTAATGCTCAACATGTTATAAATAATACTACCTTAGAAAATATGAGATGGAATTGCCTGTTGCAGAGAAGGTTTGATCAGCAAAAAACCTTAAAATAACTAGGTAAGTAAAATCTTAAGAACTGTAACATAAAATTTGGGGCGTACTGTTTTGATGAACTGCTGTTTGCCATCCTACCTACTTATATTTGTGTTTCCATATTGGTTTTGAACGTTACATATGTATGGAAGCTAATATTTACAGATAGAAAGCACGTTTGATGAAAAGAGGAAAAGACAGAATGCTTATCTGTCAGTGGCAGTTGTTTTCAGTCCCTTCACAGTGTTTGAGTTGTAGATAATACTTATTTTGAAAGCTGGAGTGATCCAAGGACAACCTATGCTTTTAAGTTTTGTTTGCCAAAATAAAACTTGCTGGTAGATACAAAGCACTGGTGTGCTAAGCATGAATTGTTCCATGTAGATGGCTGTTTGGTTCTGTTGTCCAAGCAGCTCTGTAGCTGATGAATAGCTATGAAAGGTAGTCAGTAATAGATCAGGAAATACTGACTTACACATACCTGAATGGTAGCTCAGGGTTTTGTGGTTGTGTTTTCTTTTGTTTGTTTGTTTTTTGGGGTTTTTTTTAAGATGATGAGGGATTTTTGAGGCTGCTGAGGGACCTCTACTGAATACAATAAGAAACAAATAGTGTAGATTTGACTTTGAAACACAAAATTAGGTTCATTTGATATAATGCAGATTTCCTAGAGTTGACAAGGTTTTCTTTCCTATATGACATAGGTGGCTCCCTTGCTTTGTTGTTCTGCCCTGTGTGGAAAATGAAAACAAAGCTCATTTGGCAGCAAAATTGTGGCCAGGTGCAAAGTGCTGGTGTTTCTGTGGAGACATTTGCTGGAGAGCTGTGAGCTCTGAGGCCATGCTTGCAGCTCACCAGGCACTACAGCACTGTAGCTATTCTTTCCTAGAAGTTGTGGGTCATCCCCATGGAGTCCAGAGGGGGAAGATGACAAAAGCTGTCCCTGTTGTCCTTGTGGATGCATCCCAGCACACCGACAGACAGTACAGATGAGCTGCCTGGGTAGCCTGGTGACAAACCCTGCTCAGGAGAGATGAAGTCAGATCTGCAAGACTGTGGAGGAGTGCCCACAGAGGAGCAGGGACTGTCTCAGAGCAGCAGCCAAGGCTGTGTGTATGGGGTGTTTTGGAGGCACACAGACTCTTACTCCTCCCACGCTGTCAGCCAGAGAGAGCTGAGCTCTGTGCAAGCCAAGAGGCATGAGACCAACCTGGTGCCCTCAGCAGAGCCCATCCATTCAGCTCTGTGATGTCCTGTCCAGGTGTGCACAGCGTGGAGTTTGCATCTGGCTCTCACCCAGCCAGGCAGCTGCACAGGGAGAGCATGTGCATATTTGCCTATAAAACACTGTATAGACACACCCTGGAATAGCTTGGCTTGCTAATCTGATGACACACAAAGGCTGGAAGGAGAAAGATCTGTTTAAAGTTAAGGACAAGGTTGTCACAAGAGCAAGGATGTATAAATTAGACTCAAGTATATTGAAACTGGAAATTGGAGGGGTTTTTTAGCAACAGGTTCTTGTGCAGTTTTCTACTAAGCAGAACAAGCACAAAACAAGAACAACTTTCAGAATAGAGGTTCTTAATTTTAGAATCTAAATTAGATGGCAGAATTTTTGTAGTGCAGTGAAATAGACCAAGCTTTCAGACAAATTGAAACCCAAAACCCTCTCCTCCCCAAGATAAAACTCATTGCACAATGAAGCATAAAAATAAATATATCTGTGTGCCTACCTTAGATCTGGTTTACCTGTATGTCTTCTGCTTTCATTAGTAGTTTTCAGTTTGTTCTGCCTAATTATAAATTACAGGGGTTCATTTCCAAGAAAGAAAAAAATGGATTTGGTCCTTGTCAGCCCAACTTCCTGCTGAATTCTCTGGGTTTTATTGGAAGAAGATACATGAAGACAAAGCTCTTTGGAGGGAAGGAAAAAGTTCCCCCATCACAGCAGGCTTTAACTATGTTTCTGATCTGTATCTGTAAGCACAGACCAATTGTTGTGAATAACATCGTAGAGCCACAGATTAAAGTGTCCAGGATCTCGAGATAAATGCTAGAGTTCTTTATTCAAAAAGGATCACTTGAGCATAGCTCAGGAAAATGAAGGACATTTTCAATAACAAACCAAGTACTAGTAAATACCTTATAGTTGACCTGTCCAGTTGTGGTTTTGTCCTGTATGTAAGGTCATATGATGTGGTTAATTGTTGCTTCAGTAAATAACAATTCATCTGCAAAATAGTATTTCATTTTTGTCACTTTTGAGTAGATGATTTCAGAAAAAAAAGAAAAAAGAGGAAGAATATGAAAGAAACAAAATCCAGAGGAGAATGTACATACACATGTGCAGGTGCTGACTTCAGCATTATGGTGAGGAGGCACTTGTTTCATTTTGACAGCATTACTAGCAAGGCATCTCTGCAGGTGAAGTCGGTATGGAAATGTGCACCTCCTCTGACTCCAGTGAGGGACACTCAGGCTTATTCCACATTTGGGGCCTTTTAAATTATGTAAGGAGGATCTGGTGGCCGCTGGGTCACACAGGTGACAGCAGTCTGACATCAGGGAGCCCAGAGTGGGAGAGGGCTGGTGGCACTGCGTGGCACATGCATTGAGCACTCATTGTGGTGCTGGACCTCTGCCACCAGCCATGTGGGGTTGTGGCCCAGGGCAGGTGTGCTGCTCAGCAGAGGCTTTGTGGCTCTGCCCTTCTCAAAGGGCACCTACTTGGTCAGGGTTCTGTCGCTGCTCTGCCTGATGTCAAAGAGATAATTTCCATTTTTACACCTTTTTGTCTGACATTCTTCTCAGAATGAAATGTGTAGCTGATTCCTTTATGAAAAGAGCAAAAAATACCCTGAACTGGTCATATGTACTGGCTTATCCAACAAGCAGGTGCCCTTATCAAGTACTTTGGTGAATAGGCTGCAAAAACTGGAAAACTAAGAACTTAAGGCATTTCTTCCAGCCAAGAAAGCTGGTCCCTTCTTTCAGTCCTTTTTTTAGAGCTCTCTTTTAGTGAAATTTTTGACAGCTGCATCTTCGGTACAAAAGCCCTGGGACTTTTGCTGAGATGATGTGCCTTGCTGTCCTCCCAGGATGTTGTTGTTCTTTTCCTGAGGGTATTGGGTTTGCATGGCCAGGTTTTGGTAGAGGGAAGGGCTATGGGTGTGGTTTCTGTGCGAAACTGCCAAAAGCTTCCCCAGGTCTGGTAGAGCCACTGCCAGGTGGCTCCAAGATGGATGTGCTGCTGGTCAAGGCTTGGCTAGTCAGGAATGGTGGTAACCCCTCTGGGATATCATGTTTAAGAAAGAAGAAAAAAAGTTACAGAGCTGTAATTATAGCCAGGGAACAGCAGTAAGAATATGTGAGAGGAACAATGCAGACACCAAGGTCAGTGGAGGAGGGGGAGGAGGTGCTTCAGATGGTGGAGCTGAGATTCCCCTGCAGCCCATGGAGGCAGATCCATACCAGAGCAGGTGGATGTCTGAAAGAGCATGAGAAACTTGTGCTGGAGCAGGCTCTTGAATTAATCATAGCTATAAAACTAAATTCTGCAGAGAATGGATTATCATTCAGAAAAAAAAGCCCTAAAGAAATGCAAAAGGTAGTGCTTCTGTTTTGATTCAGTAATTGTTTGATTTAACTTTTGAAGTAGTCATGTTATGAACACACCATATGGCAACATTTGTAATGCTGGGGTACTTTAAGTCTCAGCTTCAGAGCATGTTGAGTTCTTTAAAGCAATCTCTTTTTCTTATTTTTTAAGCTAAGACAGAAACAAAAAAAAAAGTGTTTTGGTGCTTTCACATTTTTGCACTCCTTCAGTTTGAAAAGCTATTTGTGTCTGCTTTAAACAATAAATAAAGATAAATTAAAAGGGACTAACTTAGGAACTTGCTGAATGCCTGCTGAGGTCAATGAGAAGCTTTCTGCTGACTTGAGTGAGCAGGTTATTCATGGAGAACAGTCCAACAAATTACAGTGTGAACAATGTGACAGACTTGGATTTTGCTTTCAGGCTTTTCCAGTAAAATGTGGACAGGCATGTTTTTTATGAGTGCAGAACGGATGAATAAATAACAGTCCTTGTGCATCACAAGAGTAGGGTGAGATGGAGAACTGAATGTACCTGCAGAAAAGTACCTACACACAGGTAAACACAAGGAAGGATCATGGAGCTTACAGTGCTAAGGCCCCCCCTGTCTGGGTTTGGTTGTGGAGTGCATCCACGTTGGCAGCATTGCTGGGAGGATTCTGCTTTTATGTGGTGTGTATCGACAGCTGCCTGCCAATATCTGGAAGCTGGAGCACAGATTTACTGCAAACAAAAACCTACCCTTGCATTTTACTGCTGAAGTTTGTGTGGCTGTTTGCTGTGCTTGGCTGTGACCTGATACACCCCACAGCTACAGCAGCGTGTCACGATGGCTGGAAGCTGCAGCCTTAGTCCAATAGGTCCCATTTATTTTGTCAATAAGTCCGTGACACAGGGCCATTTGTATGATTTGTTGCCTGATGAAGCAATTGTTTACATTTGAATAGAAGTCCAAATTGCTGCTTTTTTTTAACATATGAATGACTGCTTTATTGGTTCATTAATCCCAAGCTGTAGCAGTGTCTCATTTGTATTTGTAATACCCCCCAAAACATTACAGTTTATATTTGGCAAGGCTCACAAGGTTCTAAGTCAGTAATCTGCATGTAGAACAGTCCCTGGGTTTGGTGTTGTGTCCTTGAAGTGAGCATCTAGGAGACACTCTGATTTGTCTGCTTTCTTTCCCCCAGGACCGTTGTGTGCATTCAGATAAACTCCCCCTTTGCTGCTGCACTCAGTGCAGAATGTCTTTATGGAGGAGACACACAGAGGGAGTTCTGTCTGTCTGCCTTCATCTCTCTGCACCCTATGTATTTTGCGTAGGATGAATTGCTGTGAGAGAAAAACTTGGTGGGCTGGTGGTTTGACTTAAAGACATGGAGGCAAGAGCAGCCCTGACTTGCTGCTGTGGCATGGACTTGCTCAGTGTTTGTCTCCAAAGCTTGCTCTGCTCCAAATTTGTCATCACAGCATGAGGGGCACCCAAATTGCCTTGTCTCTTCCTCACAGTTTGTTCTGGGTTGGTGTGTGAATGTGTATGTGTATTTGTGTAGGGATTTGATGTTTTTCCAAGTGTTTGCATTGCCTGCACTGTAACAGTGTCCAGCTGTACCACCCATCTCTGCTCTGATTTTGATGTTGCTGGGAAGAAAAAAAAAAATCTGGCATTGCTGGTTCTTGCAGGGTTATGATTAGTCTTGAGATGATATCTTGAGATGATCAATGCTGAGCCTCTAATCAGTGTAATATGCTGGAATTGATCTTCCTTCCCAGTCTCCTTTCCTGGTTAGTGTCATAGTTTTTGTTTACAGTGTCCCTCTAAAGTAGGAAAAACTCAAAGACTACATGTGTACAGAAACTCTGGTTCCTGAAGGAAGCTTCTCTTTAGGGTTTTCCAGTAGGTGAGATGCCTCTCAACCTATATTCCTGGATAGAGAATCTGAAACACATGAACACTCTGGAATAAAAATGGTCCTTTAGTCTTCCAGCTCAACCATGCCAGCAGGCATAGTTCATGTGGCAATTACCCAGGAAGGTGTGTTTGGTGAGGAAAATATGTCCCTTGTATTCAAATAAACTCCTATTCTGCTTTCATAGCTTACTTTTAACACAGTACCTTTAACTGCATGTCAGCATTTTTGTAGTGGTTAGAGCTGGTTATCTTACCAGAAAGTTTCCCTGCTGGAATATATATTCATGTTGTTGATGCTTTCCTTTTAAAGCACATGAGCTGGCTTCAAGGTGGGTTTGTTTGGGATTTTTCCTTCTCCATGCACAGATTGCTATAAATTGTTTTCATGGTGTATTAATAACCTTCCAGGAAGTGAGATAGATGCCTGGATTAGGTGATTTACTTATTGTCATTAAGGAATGTAGAAAATCTGAATGTGCTGATTTGCAGCACATATTCATGATCCAAACATCATACTGTTCATTGTTGGGAATGATTTGTCAATTTGGTATTTAAAAAAAAAAATTATTCTTTTTTTTCCCCTTTCTTTATTTCTTTTTATTCCTCTAGTGTCTGGGGATTTTATACCTCCTGCTGTTGAATTAACTGGAACAGCAACATACCCCTGGCTCTCCTCCAGCCTTGATGGAGAAGGAAGTGTGGTTGGTGCAGCTCAGTGCCCTTCCATACAGGGACAGGATTTTGGGCACTTGTGGCCAGACAGAGCCAGAGACTCCCAGGAAGGAGGCTGGATGGTGCCAGGGGCAGTGGTGACAACAAAAATGAGCCCTTCCCACACCTTTAGCAGGGCAGGAATGGAAGTTTCTCTCACAAGAATGAACTGCTGCTGCCAGCAGGGAACAACATTCAGGTTTTGAGAGATCCATATGTCATAGTGTGAGTGAGGATTTTGTCCTCAGATCTGCCCCTTTAAGTCAATAATGTAGGACAATTGATCAACACTTAGTGTTTCTGAAGTACAGCACAGCTAGTCAACAGTGGCACAAACATTTTGCCCTCAGCCATTCTGTTGATTCCAACAGTATTTTTCCTTTTTGCTCTGAAAAGGCCAAGTCAACAAAGCTTTACCAGGGATGTGGGTGTTGGGTTTGCTGTATGAAAACAGTCTTGTCTTGAGCTTAGTTTATTACATACTTGAAGTAGTTTTCTTAGTGAAGAAGTTGCTTAAAACTTCAGAGAGCCAATGGTTGCCTTCTGTGTACTTCAAGCCACTAGTCAGACAGCTCTTGAAGTGTTTGCCACTTCTGTGTTGATGTGTTAGGGCTTTGCAGATAAATCATTGGGTGGAAAAATAGACAACAGCACCAGTAGTGAAAATTTATAATAAATACAGGTGAAGAGTCACGTGAGTTTTAATGTGACCCTCACAAAATGCCTAGTAGAGAAAACAGCATTCTTTGGGAAGATAATTTGGGAATTTAGCAATTGCTGGAATCCTGTTTCCTTTACTGCCATTAAATAATCTGCAGTGAACAGTTTTAGTAGTGTTGTTTCATAGATCTTAAGGTGTTTCACTCACTTTGAGATTTTACTGAGATAGAGATAAAAATAAGTATTGTCTAAAAAAACCTGGCAGATCTTTAGCAAAATGAAGTTGATTGTCATACACATGAAGTCACTTGGAGTGACTACATGCCTTCCATTCTGTTTCAGGGGAGCATCTGTCATGCACAACAGCTCAGTAATTCTTATCTCTGTTGCAAAGACAGTGCCCATTACAATATATGAATTAGCCAGTTATTGCAACTTGGCTGTACAGAGGGAAGGTGGAAGCAGTTGATAGTTCCATGCTCCAGAGGGAAACAAAAGGGTCATGAATTCCACTTAGGCATGGACACAGAGCCAGATCTGAATTTGTAAGGAACAACCCTTATGTGAATATAATGTCCCTTTTGTAGAGTGTCGTTGGATAAACTGAAATGTAGCAGAAGATGGAGGTGAAGTTTTCAGCTTTCACAAAACCAAGGTAAAGCCTTTGTCACGCTAAAACATGTCAGTTGCTACAATTGCAGGTGAGGTACAGTGAGGTACAAAGAGAAGAATGATGAAAAGGAGATAAAACTCTATTCAACTACCATGCGTAATAGTTAATCTTAATGTATTATTGTTTTCTTCTCATTCCTAGCATGGCCGGACCCCCCTGCATCTTGCTGCCTACAAGGGTCATCTCCACGTTGTCCAGGTTTTGTTGAAGGCAGGTTGTGATCTGGATATTCAGGATGATGTAAGTAGATACAACCTTCTAACTTGGGGTGGAGGGGAAAAGGTGATTTGCAAATAACAGTAGACATTCACTTCTTTGAAGTAGGATTAAATGGAAACGAAATCCGTCTCTGTTTTCCAATTCAGAGACATATGCAAAAGTGCATGGGAAACAATGTAAAATGTAAAATTTGGTGGTTTTCAGTGAGTAGCTTAGTCCTCTCGTTCAAGCTGCCGAGCTTTATAAGAGCTCCGCTTGTGCCAGGCGGGTGTGAGAGTCGTCATCTGCTGCTTCTGGTAGAAATGCACTAGGAGTTCATTGTGGGAACCCGCTGGAGGACATCAGGTAGGGGACACAACCCATTTTTGGGCTCGCCTGAAGTGGGAGATGCTTTTTGAGTAGGCACATTCCTCAGTATCCAGAACAGCTGCCCACAGCACAGTGCTGTGCCATGGGGAGATGATCCTGGTGGCACCTTGCTTCATGCTGGGGTGGTCACAGCTCTGAGGCTGTTGTGTAGTGAGGCATCAGCACAAAAGCCAGCTTTGAATTTAGCACATGGTAGTTTGTGTTAATTTGGTAAAATGCATAAGTTGCTGGAATTTCTTGGGTTTCTGTAAGAGTAGTTCTAATCTAGGACCGGGCTTTAAGGTGCTTTGGAGTGACAGGTAATGTGGTTTTAATTCCCTCACTGGTGAAAAAAGGTGTATGCTGAAATGTGCAGTAGCAGTTGAATAACCATGATTTCTTCAAATTAATTGCTAACTTCTGATGGCATGCTGGAAGTAGTTGGAGGTAGGGTTGCTTTTGTTGTCCCTGTAATATATAAGGTGGAGAGTCTTCAAAGGCCATAGAGTTCCAAAGGTATTAGAGAGGCACTGGTGGAAGAACAGTGGAAATGTCTAGGTGCCTTTTAAAAATGCCTTTGGGCATTTGTTTGCATCTAGAGAGTTAAAAGTCTATAGCAACTGGAAAAGTGGTTTCTTTCTCTGCATGAGTAGCTGATTCCCTGGAAGACGTGAGCAGTCTGCCTGACAAGCTTGGGACTGGGGTACTGATGTGGCCAGCTTTCTGCAGAGAAACTTGTTTTTCCAGGAAGAAAATTTGTTCCTGTGCTCTTTATTCTTTCCCTGTGCCCATCTGTGAAATGGGGCAGATTTGCAAGTGCAATGGGAGAATCAGTTTATTCAGATGTATCCTGGGTATGCTTTTTCACTTCTCCCAGCAGAAACGGTTCATTAGGTATTTAAGACAAAATTGCAGATACTTTACAAATACAGCCAATTTTCCTGAGAAAACTGTTGCTTTAAGAAAGCAAGAGCTTCCACTGATTTGGTCAAATTGAGTTTCTGTGGAAACTGTTTTTTGAATAAGTCTGGTTCATTTGTTTTAATAATCTAGGAATAAAGTCTGTGCTGTTTATATGTAAATGTGATAGCCATGATAGAAAAACAGTAAATCAGTGTTTAGCATCATTTCAGTTCAGTGAAGAGTCTTGCTTTTGTAGAAATACTCAGCTCATAGAAGACTTACTGTCTTCTCAGGGGCTTTGTTACAATTGGATACTGCTGCTACATGTGGTGATTAATATGGGCAGAGTAGATGCATACTGGATTCATAGATACTGTTTCTCTAAAATGTATTTTGATGTGTAGCTCTGTATTTAGTAGTAGTAGTAATTTGGTTGGGATTGAGGAGAGCCTCAGGAGTTTCTGAATTTCAAAGGCTATGTTTGGATTTGTCTTGTAGAAGGAGGAAGTCTAAAACTCCAAATGAAGATTTTTGCTTGCAATAGGTATTAACTAAAATATTTCTGCTTTCCTTTTACATAGGTCTTCAAAGAAGGTTCTCTGCTTATGGCTTCTCCTTGTATAACTCATTTTTACAGTTTATGCCCCACAGAATATGTAGTCTCTTTTAGCTGCAATCTGTTGATTATGCTTTCAGTCACTTTTACTGTGCGCAGTGAAGGCATCTTAGTTTCAAGTGTTGATTAACATCTGTATGTTTCACTGCTGTTTTCCAGGAATACGGATTTAGGTACAGATATGAAAACACCTGTGAGAGTGGGGAATATTACATTTAATTGAAAAGCAGATTATTTTGTTGATTTTGGCATTGTTGTGGCAGCACACAAAAATTTAAAACTGTGACCTACATTTTATTTTTCAAAATAACAAGAGAAACCTAAACACGTCATTTTTGAGTTTTGATCAAATTCAAGAACAAGTTTTAATTTGTCAGATGATAAGCAGAAACTTAAAAGCTGCTAATTGTTTCAGAGAGATTAAAATGCTCCCTTTCATGTTCTACAGATATATTCCCTAAACACGGTAAGAGCCTTAAGAATTAGTTGAAGAATGACCTCCAGTGGCCTGGAGTGGGATTATTATGAATTTCAGCCGGTGGAGTCCAGCTCTGTAGAATATGCCACTCCGGGAGCTGACTCCTTCCTTCTCCCTGCCAATACTGACAACTCTTACTGGGATCCCAGTGCCATCTCTGAGTGGTCAATGAGTGTCCATACAGCACACACCTCAGAAATAGTCCAGGAGAAAATTGTCCCGGTGAAGGAAATCAAGGATGAAAAAAATAAGAGAAACCAGAAGAGAAAGGCTAGGAAGGAACCTAGAAGATCAGAAAGAGAGAAGGAGGTTAGAACTCTTGTGCGTCACCCCTGCCCTGCGCCTGACGCTGTCGCGGTGCATGCTGCGGCCGAGCTCCCTGCGCTGCATGGCTGCATGGCCCGCTTGGCGCTCCGTGCCCTGCATCCAGCCTCCTGCTCTGCCTGCACCCTTGAGAACCTAGCTGGGAAAACAGATGGGTTTAAAACAAAGGCCAAAGCCCTGGAACTTCCTTTCTGGAAGCTCCAGTTTAAGAAGCAGAAAATTAGTTTCAAATGGAAAAATAGCCCAGGGTTCATAATCATTTCTAGCTGAATGCAAATGTGCAAAGTGGCTTATTCCTGTGGTCCCATTTCATTTAGGCTGTAATTTGTTTTGTTCATGATTATTTTTCATGCCTTGATCGCTTCTGCTGGTCATGCATCATCATTTACTGTGCAAGAATGAAGTTGTTCTTAACTGTGTATTGTGACTGCCTCTCTGTAGCAAAAGAGGAGGAGAGCAGCACAGAGACGCTGAGAAATATGAGAGCATATTCAGTTCCCTTTACAGCTGCTGTCCCCTGTACAGCTGCTGCAGGGTATCCACATATGCTTGTATGCTCCTGCAAGCATTTAACACTTGGTTATATTTTGCCTTTAGAATATTTTGATACTTCTACTGTGAATTTAATGGCTTGATTTTATATTATAGGTTGGACTCAGTGATCTTAGAGGTCTCTTCCGATCTCTTTATTCTGTGATTCTGTGATTTTATATTATATGACTTCACAAGTGCTGTTCAGCATTTTGTGTCAGCGATCGAAGCCATGAGTTTTTTCTGGTTGTTTTGGTTGTTTATTTTTTGGTTGGCCAAAGTTGTGGATGCTGTATCACTGGAAGTGTGCAAGGCCAGGCTGGATGGGGCAATCTGGTTTAGAGGAAGGTGTCCCTGCTTAGGGGAAGGGAGTTGGAACCAGGTGATCTTTAGGGTCCCTTCCAACCTAAATCTATGAATCTATGATTTTGGTGCCATTCTTCTGCAGCAAGATAGGCTATTGATTTCTGGAAACATAGAAGTGAGGAGGCAAAATGTCACATGGGAGAAGGGCCTTAAAGGAGATTGTGCAACCATCGGTTGCTCTGGAGAATAGGAATGTGCAGGAAAAAATGTGGTTATAGTTTGAGGGTTTTTAAATCAGAGAGGGGAAAAATTAACATGTATTACAAACTAATGTAAACCAAATCTCACTAATTTGAGTCTGTAGAGTCTATAAGAGAAACTCCAGTAACCCAGGAGAGCTGTCAGAAATCTACCTGAGACTGTATTAGAAGTCACTTGTGTTGTTTCATTCCCTTGGGGTGAACTTCCGATGTAAATAGAAATTTCCAAGTGCCTGGTCCCGGTGGTTGCATCCACTGTTTTAAGATAACACATGAGGAAGCTCAAAGAAATAGTTGCAAACACCAGGACACTGAGCAAATGCCAACAGCCATGCCAACAAAGAAGTGCCTAAAGAAAGGGTAATGCCAAAGTCCATGGGGAAAAATTAAGATTTAGGTATCTGCCTTTCTTCAGGACTCCCAGCCTGTAAACCTCTCCTGAAAGCAGGTGTTTAAGCCCTCTGTAAAGAGCATGATTCCCCCGTCTTGAAATGTACCTGTTGCTGTGCAGGAGTCCTGTTACAGGTAGAGCTCTCAGATGTGCAGTCCTGCATCCTCTGCATCAGTGCATGCAGATTTCTATCCCAGTCTCCAAGTGTCAGCCTCTCACTATCCCAATGAATACCAAGATTTTTTCCTAAAAGTGGAGAACTTTCAACACTGCAGTGCTGCCATGCTGAGACAAAGTGAGTGAGCACTGCTATCTCTGGGATCCTGTGGAAAAACCAGTGGCCACTTCCTTCATTGGCTTAATTTTGAAGGGTGGTGGCTGTACCTGCAACATGCATGGATCTTCTTCCATCGGGTGTATGGCAGGAGCACTCACAGGGCCAGAGAGAGGCGGGGAGCTGCCTGCATTAGGGCTGTAGGGTGTGCCATGCCCCCGTGGTGCAGTGCCCTGTACCTGCTTTGCAAGCTGATATGTCCAGGGCATGGACATCCTGGAGTGGAATTTCCTGAGTGTGAGCTGTCTTCAGAGCTAGGCACAGTCTGAGGAAGGGGGGTTACGATTCACCAGTGTAGACATTAGTGCCTTAGTTCTGTTGAGCTTCACTTAAGTCTTTTTGGCTTTGGGCCCACATCTGCATTTGGGCAGACTGTTGTTTCTGTCAAGGTCATGTTTCTGTGACACGGCGCTGGAATTGTCTCTCTTCATTGCTACTGATCTGCAGTCTGTTCCTAAGGCATAAATCTCTTGGAAACAGAATCATAAATTGTGCCCAACATAATAGTCTGGACGGTTAATACGCATTTACCAATGTAATTGCTCTCTGAGCCTCTGGAACAGACCCCTAATGCTTTGCTAAAGACAGAATTGTAGTGAGTGCTTTCAGAGACATTTATTTCAGTAATTAATAAAAGGTACACAAATAGGTGATTACACTGCCTGAAAATTCATGCTGTGAAAAAACCACAACTCATCTGTTTCCTTGGACTCTGTGAAAGGCAGGGCAGGGATTTGCTCCACTGCTGATGGGAAGGGAAGGCAGGTTAGAGTGCAGTGGTGCAGGCACCCTTATTTATAGGATGGCTGTGCTCTCCATGGCTGGGTTGCTCAGTGGCTGTCTCACAGACACCATCACAACCTGGTGGTTCAGCTTCCACAGCACTTAAGCAGTTTAAGGTAACTGTTTGTGCTGAGGTGTAAGGGAATAGTGGACCAGGTGCTGCCGTGTCCTGCTGGCTGAGGGGTCTGGTGCTGGTAGGGACGGACCCTCACCAGACAATGATACATGCCCTCTCTTCACTGGGAGGTGCCTCAGTTGGTGAAACAAGGACTGAGATATCCTTTGACACTCCCTGTTACATGGATGAGGTTCTTCTTTTGTCCAGTCAGGGTGTGGGTTGGACCTTATTGGATGCTCATGTAGGGAAGATGTCATAACCAAAGCCCATACCTTGGGCAGGAGGCACTTGAGCCTGCCATTTGCAGGACTTGGGTCCCTTCACTTAGATCTATTTCAGGGACCAGAATGTATTTTGGAACAAAGCTTAGGCATGGCTGAAGCAGTTCCAGTGCTGCTCTGCATCCCCAGTGTATGGCCCCCCAGCATACAGGTTGGGATTACCAAGGAGCACTTGGTCTTGCAGCAGTGAGGTGTGCTGCCCACTTTCCAAACAGACAAATGTGTTTGTATAAAATTTAAATGAAATGCTGTTAGAAGTAGCTGTCATATCAACAAAGCCCCAAAAGCTGAATAGTCTTTGAGCTCATTGCAGTTACTGTGAGGGGGACAGGAACAGCCTTGATTTAAACTGCCCCAGTAAGAAGATCCTTAATTACAAACCAAATCCTGTATGGTCCATTTCTGCCCCAAATTTGTCTTCTCCACAGTAATCTTCCCAACTGTAAAGCAGTAGGAACCAATCATTTATTGTTCAGATTCCATCCACTGCAATGGCAGTTGCCACTTTGTTTTAGTCTGTTTTATAATATCTTCTGTGGATTTGCTGGTGCATCAATACCACTTGGCAGGGGTAGGTTGGCAGATTACTTTCCACTTCATGATAATCAGATAAAATGATTTTTTGCCCTGTCCCACATGACTCACTACTGCAGTAACAATAGCTGTGCCATTATCAAAAATCAGATATAAAATTCTTCCTCAGTTTGTTGGTGAGCAGATTTCCATGTAGTCATAGTAACCAGTAACTATTTGACATTTGTACTTGTGAGATGGTATAATTTGGACATTTTCCATAACATTTTGGTTGTCTTTGACTTTGGAACAAATACATAAGTTCAGAGCACTTGCCATGCTGTCAATTTTCCAATACTTTTTGTTTCCACTTCCTGGAAGCTTTTCTGCCTTTGCTGAAATCCTTTAAAATACATTTCCGGTTGCAAGAACAAAAGTAACAATATCTAACCTCTAGAAACAATATCAAAAGTAACAATATCTAACCTCTAGAAACAAAAGTAACAATATCTAACCTCTAGAAACAACAACAAAAGTAACAATATCTAACCTCTAGAAACAACAACAAAAAATAGCAGGCTTTTAAAAAGCACCTTCAACACAATTTTTAAAAATCAACTTCATTATTATAAGCCAATTTAATGATTTACTGGTAGGGTTTACTGAAAGGTTGTGGTTGGCAATGCTCATTTTTTTTATAGATTAATAACTATTTTGGTGTCATTAGCACAAAATAACCCCACCAAAAGCAATTTTTAAGTCAGCTGCTAATTGCCTTTGAGAACAAATTGTTCAAATAAGCCAGTTACCTAAAGACTTGGACACTCTAGAATAAAAAATACAGACATCAATTTCAGTATTTAATTTAATATGCCATTGTCTGATAAAGAATTTTACCTGAGAAATTTTGTGTCTGTTTAGGACTTGGTTTCCTGCAAGCCTTTTTAGGACACATGGCATATCTCTGCCCTGCGTGTGTTTGTGGTGACCATCATCTAGATAAGCAGAAATGGATTGGATTCCAAATCTGTTTATTAATCCCATACAAGTCTGTGTGCAGCTTTGAAGCCTGTCTCTGTTCCTGGATTCAGTCTGTGCTTTGGCATTGCTGGTTCAAAGCAACTTCAAAGGAAAGCCAAGACTAGTTGTGGTGGCAGCAGCGGAGCTACTGCAGCTCATTTTCCCATTGATCCCTGTCTTACATCCCTACACACCGCTTCCTAAATCCTTCTCTTGCCTCTCTTTTATCAGGTTCTTACCAACAGGTGCAGAAAAACATATAGATTGTCCCTGATGGGCAGGGACAGTGGTTTAAGTTTCCCTAGTATTCAGTTTCTGGAAGGATTCTGGAAACTAATCTTGGGCTCTCTAGCTCAGCAAATGAGTTCAGCAGTTGTTAGAGAGGAGATAGATGGGCAGTCAGACAAGATGACCACATCAGCGTAGTTTCTTTTGGAAGTTGGCTTTAAAGGAAATAAGTTGATGTAGGAGACTTGCTTGTTGCTGCTACATGGTGGGTCAAAGAGAAATGAAAGTCGTTTGGAGCTCAGGATGGCTCAGTTGCTCGAGTGAAACAAGTAGATGGTTCTGCAGTTGTGGTTCTCATTGAAAAGTTACCTCCACTCTTAGCACTAATTGGTAAACTCATCAGAGGTGCTGAAGAGACCAATCTCATCTCACGCTCCTTATCCTAAGCAGGATGGAGAATCAGAGCCAGAGCAGGAGAGCCTTATCCAGTTAGTGTAAGTCCTGGAGGATCATTATGATGAATTAAGACAGCCTGTAATTCCCTTTAGTTCCCTACAGACACTGATGACTATTAGACACGTAGAGCCAAATGTATCCAATTCACTGCCTTCTAATACTGCCATGTTTTTGGAATGCTTCAGCGCTGTTTATGGGATTGTGATGACTTGCAAACTTCTGTAAATGGTTTGTAGCTCTGATACTTGCAGTAACTTCATTAATCTTGGAAACTTTTATGGTAGTTGTTTAGGGGGACTGTTTTTGAAGGCAGCTTGGATTGAAACAGTATGTGTGTCGAAAATGCAGCCCCTCTGTGTGTTGTCTGCATTTGCATTAAGTCAAAATGAAGTGGGAATTGCACCAATTACAAATTTGCTTCTTTTTGCAGGGTGACCAGACAGCACTGCACCGGGCTGCTGTAGTAGGGAACGCCGATATAATAGCAACCCTGATTCAGGAGGGCTGTGCTTTGGACAGACAGGACAAGGTAACAAACAAAACAGAAGCCCTGTGGAATGGCGGCTTTGGCAGTCAGTAATGTTAAGGTCTCAGTGAGAAAGTTATAGTTTATACTCCTTACTAAGTGTCTGATGCTTCAGGAGTAATTGGAGCAATTATGTTGAAAAAAAGCTGTACCATCTCTTTAATACAAATTACTGGTTTAGTTATGCTTCTATATTAGGCTGATAGTTTTTGGTTTAGAGTCTGTTCTCAGCTCATTAAGGGATGAATTAAAGGAATGTACAACCATACTACGCCCTACGCAAAAGACTGCACAGTTCCCATGATTATCCCAGAAACTTGAGAATCCCAGGCTGTAAGTTTAATTTAGAAGTAAATGTAACTAATTTCAAGTTCCAGACAAATAGCAGTGTTTTTACCCTCTTACAAAAATAAAATAGAAAATGAGCTAGTAGGAAATGAAAATACTTTTAAGAGAGTAGGTTGGTTATACAGCCCCTAATATTCTCCTCTTATGTGTGCGCTCCTCAGGATGGGAACACTGCTCTTCATGAAGCTTGTTGGCATGGATTCAGTCAGTCTGCCAAAGTGCTTGTTAAAGCAGGAGCCAACGTTCTTGCCAAAAACAAGGTGAGACCCGTGGAGGAGGAGCTTTCACTTCTGCTCTAAGGTGGCTGATTCTCAGAACTGGAGATTTCTGGCCATGGCATTTTTCAGCAGGTGGGGGGCCAGCTCTTAGTGGGATTTTTTTTCTTCTTTTCATTTATCACGCCTGGATGGTTCATCCACAGGCATTAGGAAATTCATATTTTGCCAGCTGACGCAGGAGAAACTCAATAACGCGTTGAATGATACATTAATTACAGCTGAGGAACACTGCCATTCCTGTGGAAGTCTCCATGGTGCTCTAATTTATCCTGAGGAGATTCATTGTGATTGGTGTGATTTAAAATGGAAATGAATTGTACTAATAAGAAAAAGGTATTGAAAATCTGTTCTTTTCCAGAAATTAAACAGCCAAAGGAATGTAGGCCACAGGGGGAAACAAAAAAAAGTGTCTTAATAAGTTTTTCCTAATATATTAGCATAGTCTCTTCCCAGAATCTTGTAATGAACGTGGATTATGTTCCTTTTGGTATTTATAATACCTTGAGAGCCATTTAGAGGAAAGAATAACAAAGTAAAGGGTTTTAGTTCCACTCTAATTGTTATAGCTGAGGGGCACTTCAATTCAGTAATTCAGAAGTTAATGGAATAGTCCAGGAAATGGTGGTAGCAGCCCATGGTGTGAGCGGAGTCAGGGTTTGGATAGCTTTGCTGCTGGGTTGGTCAGATCACACGGCTGGCACGGTGCCCCGTGTGACAGGGAGAGGACTTTGGGATTGCTTTAGGGGATCTCTGAGCATTTTTGGTAAATGTGTCTCTAAAACAACAACTGAAAGGGGGCTGGGAAAGAAAGGAGACAGCTGGTCAAAGTCTAAGGTTTAGAGTGAAAAGGTATGTTGCTTGGGCATAGTGTTTCTGTATGTGCATGTATGTATAGGCACTATAGAATCATATATTTGTACAGTTGTGGTGACTTTGTGGTCTGCAATTTCATTGTATTTGGTAGTATTTTATGTGTATTCCTTCTTTTGTATTATTTCAACTACCAATTTTTATTTACTGTAATTACTTTTGCTGTAATGTCCGCCTAGACTTGTATCAAGGGTACTTTAGAAAAGTTCCCATGCTTGACTGTAAGTCTTGTGAGTCATTTTGCTCCTGTCCCTGGATATGCTTGTCTATGTATACACATACACTTCTGTACAAAGGTGTGGGCCTAAGATGCAAGTCTGGTTATCCTGCATGCTTGGGTGCCTCAGGGAATGAGAAGATTTAGCTTACAATCCAGTTTATGTCAGCTGGAGGCAACCTCTCTGGGAAAGTATGTACACAAAATAGCTCAGCAGGACTGATGGCTGAAATATGACTGGCAAACTTAAATACTGCCTGAGCAGCTCCTGTGCTAGTCTTTGATGTCTTGCCCTTTGCATTTTACTCTTTGGATCGTTTATAATGGACAAGATATATTCTCAGGAGCTGCTGAAAAATGTGGGAATCGTGCATGCTTGCACGTGCTTTTACCCCTTTTGTTTTCAAGAAAAATTAAGAGCTTAAGTCCACTTAATCCCAAAATGGTTTCTCTGTTCTCTCAGCTTTTTGTGTTACTTATGACAAGGCACTATCATTCTGACAGCTTTTCTGGCAGCCAGGGTTGAGTGCTGTGTGCAGGAGCATCCCACAGGCTGTTGACTTACACCTGGGTATTGTGTGATTTTGGATGGATGGGACAGATATGAGCTGCTAGATTTGCCAAACCTGTGAAGCAGCAAAAGATGGGAAGGATTTGACACTGTGCTTTGGGTAGCTGTATTCCTTCTGCACAGTAGTCATCCTGGAGATGCAGTTTATTTTCATTTAAGTTGGCTTAATAAAATCTTTTCTGCTTTGATAAATCATCCAGTGAGATCAGTTGTAGCCTTATTTTTAGATTCTTCATCACTCTGTACATTTCAGTGAAGATTCCCAGACTGGTACAACTTGGAGCTTCTCTCCCTCTCAGAAGAGCTCTGACCCTTGGCACTGTCATTCTCCCTGAATTGAAGTCCTCACCTGCTGCACAGGACCTCTGCCTTCCCACCAGGGCCAACCTGCCAAACAGTAAATGATAAAGGCATTGCAGAGGCTTTTCAGAGATAAACCTGTGAGGGAAAAAATTGACACTTAAACACAATTTAGCTGAGAAGAGAAATGTTCATGTCTGCCACAGCTTAGAGGCTGACATGCAGTCATATTCAGGTCTATAATATGGAAGTGAAGACCTAAGACCACATCTAAGCTTGGCTTTTGTAATTCAAACCCTGCAGCTTTGATCTGTGTCTTGAAAGCAAGGGGGACAAATGAAAGGACAAAATTAAGGTGAACAGACAGCATAGTAAGCCTGGTAAACCTTTTTACCTGAGGTGATTTAATTTCTAGCTTCCAAGAGCCAAAAGCCCTGAATGTTTTCAGATCAACAAAAACCAAATGCTGCCAGAAAAAACTTGTCAGACCAATAAACTCGTTCATTGTTTAGAAAGACATACACGGGCCAACACTTCTTTGATTTCTGTCCACTTCTGCACATTTTCTTCTTTGAGGAACCATAGCATGTGATTCTCTACAGCTTGGGTGGCTTTTTGCCCTCCCTTCCCATCTTGGTTGGAGTCTGGTGTGCCTCCTGAACATCAAAGCTTCTTGATAGCCTAAAATCTGTATCCTGCCCAGTGAGAGCACCTACAGACGCAGCCAGACTTCAAGCTGGTTTGTATTACAGTTGTAAGGAGACAGGAGTTGTGACCCTGGTCTGCTCAATACCCTGCAGCATTTGTGGCTGGGATCAAAGATCCCGTGCCATGGCAGTTTGCTTTTTTGTGTCTGTGCATGGGGGAAACCCGAAACACAAGAATTACAGTTCTTTAAATTACATATTTAACACTGCTGTTTGAGACTAATGAATGAGACAGTTTCTAGAGTTCTTTCTTCCTGTAAACAGATTTGACCAATGCAGATATCATTATACTGTCCTATTTCTGCCTTTATTATATCCCAGGTAAGCCATTGCCTGAATGAAGCAGTGATTTCAATCTCTGGGTTCATTAATCTCATATATTTGGGAAAACAACAGTTTCCCACCCTTGGGTGGATCTTATTGTGCAAAGATCTGTGAGGTTTTATATTTTAATGCTCATGTCCAATATCTAAATATGGCTTTTATATTTTCCTGTATTTCTCTAAGGCAGGTAACACACCTCTTCACCTGGCTTGCCAGAATAGCCATTCCCAGAGTACTCGTGTTTTGTTACTTGGAGGATCTCGAGCAGACCTCAAAAATAATGTGAGTTTTGGAAATAACTGTTCATTTTTGTGTGACTTTGTTTTATGTATATTGCTTTAACTTGTAGAAATACTCAGAAAGGCTTTAAGCAATGATTTTTATTATAATTATATTGAAAAAACCCCACTACCCAACCATTGTATTCACCATGCACAGGAATGCTTTTGGAAGGATTGAGTGATGCACTACTTGTACCCATCTCTTGAGCAAGTATAGAAGGAGCCAAATGGGGTTTTGCTGTTGCACAGACAATGGTGAAAGGCTTCAGATCTGCACATCATATACTCTATGTGTCCGTCTTTCAAATGAAGTAGATTCAGGGGTGGCTTCAGTTTCAGACAGCTTTCCTACTATTTTATAATGATTCTGGCGTGATAGATACAGAAAAAAACAATCTACAAAAGAAAACCAGATATTTTTTCCCTGCTCGATAACAAAGTGGGCAGAGAAATGGAAACCTGTGGGGTTTTGTGCAGCTCCCGGGCTCAGCTGCACAAGAGCCACCCTTCATGGGAATGCTATTCTGGCTGCCACTCATGTTTTCAACATTATGTGGAACCCTAAGTGGAGATTCCATATTGCACTGGGTTATGGTTCAGAAGAACAGATTTAATGGGAAAATATAACTAACTCAGGGTTTGTAGTGCCAGTAAAATAGCATTTTATTTTTCCAGTATTTCCTACCAGTGGTTAAAGAATTCATGCTCTCACCTTGCCTGACCCCAGCTCTTGCTAAACTTTCCCACCCATGACAGCAGATTTTGTACTGCAGAGAAGACAGCATTGCTGTTCTGTGGAGGTGTGTGGTGTTTACTGCTCTTTCTGATTTAATAGGATTATTTCATCCCTGAGCATCATGACAAGTACAGGCTTTCTCACAGTGATTACATGCTCAGAGCTTTGTTTCTGTTTGCAGGCAGGAGATACCTGTCTGCATGTGGCTGCTCGTTATAATCACTTGCCCATCATTAGGGTGCTGCTCAGTGCTTTCTGTTCTGTCCATGAAAAGAACCAGGTCAGTGCATGAACCTCATTGTGACTCTGTGCCCTTTGCATACGGCCACTTGTTGGGAAGAGGAACTCCTACCCAAGTAATCCTGCTTCACTCTGTGTGTTCCACTGTACCACCAAATGCCTAAGCTTTTAAGAATAGCCTTAAAATAATGGCATGTCGGTGGTTTATTATTTTGCCATCGCATTTGCATTATTTCTTTAAAGCATTGCTTATTTATGAGGTGATTTAGTGATCTTATAGCCATTACAGAGACATTGTGAAGCACAACTCACTGATATTTAGATGCTACTAAAGTGCAAATTCCTCTGGAATACTTTTCTTTGCTGCATTTTGAAGTAGGGGGAATTAAGAGGACATAAAAGTGAAGACAAAGCATGCTCTAAATTCAAAGTAATGATCAGTCCAGCCTAGGATTAATCATCCATAGTTGTTTTATAGGGAAGTAACTGCTGTACCTATAGCATAGCCTAATTGGGTAGTAGAAGGGAATGAAATTAGTACATTAAAACGTTTTAAATTTGTTAAATAAACATATTATGTGGTGCTTAACCACATTTTCTCATGTTCCTGGGAAATCTTCCATGGGTAGTTGAGGATCATAAAGATGTTTTCTGAACTGTACATTTAATGTTCTTTTCTCACTATGAGGTATTATAGCAAACAAAATGGGTTTCAGCATGTGAAATTTACTATGTAATTTTATTTGGAAATGAGTTTTTTAACTCACAAAATGAGCTACTGAATATTAAGATTGACTGGTGTGAACCTGGCCCAGAGAGACATCCCTTTCCCTCATTCCCCAGCACTACCTGAAGTTGTTCCATATTTGCCCATAGAATGGTTTGATTTAGGAGTACATCTCATCTAAGTTAGCAACAGGCACAAATCCTGAGGAAATCTAATTTTATGAAGGCAAAATGCAAGACCAGGGGGACAGGAAGGCATTATACACACGTGTCCGGTCCCACTTGAACAGTTGCTGGCTCTGTTACCAGTGCCCAAATCTGATCACGGCTGTCTTCACCTCACTGCACCAGGACAAGGGTAGGGCAGTGTGTTAGTGCTGGACCCAGACTGCCTTCTGGCTCTGATCCAAAATCTGTTCTTCCTGAGGAAACCTGTAAAGAGCATGCCAACCATCTCGCTGCCAGTACTTACCTGAGTATTTCTGAGTAATGTGATACATGACCACCTGCACACCAAATAATCAAACCTGGGGGAAAAAAAAGAAGAGAAAGTTGTAGTGGGAAAACTTGTTCTACCCTCAGATGTCTTATCCATTTACTGGGGGTAGAGCTGGGCTGTCTCCAAGCTGCATCATGTGTCACTTGGTTTAGATAAATCAGATCACCAGTGCCCCAGCTGCATTTCTCAAACCCAGGCTGAAGTAGCTCTTTGCCCCCTCCTGTCATCTTCCTCCCCAGTCAGTCATTTTTTATTGACCAGGCCTTATTTAAGCTAGTTGTTGCATCAAAGTAAGTGCAGGTTTTTTCATGTCTAAGCATCTTTTAGGAAGGTGTGAGTTCTGTAGAGTGAGACCCAAGGACTAGTGTCACAAGATTGTTTTCTGCTTTCTGACTTGCAGGCAGGGGATACTGCACTCCATGTAGCTGCTGCTCTAAATCACAAGAAGGTGGTGAAGCTCTTGCTGGAGGCAGGGGCTGATGCGTCCGTTGTCAACAATGTAAGCGGGACAAAGAGTTTCTTTGGTATTTTATATTAATATAAAGTCTCTTCAACATTCCTCATAGGCTTGGTAGAAAATACTTGGTTGTGAAGTGTTGAATTATATCTGGGTAAATTAATGCAATTAGTCACTTTGCTCTTGTGCACAGAGTATATACTGAACTTGGTTGGAGAACTTTCATGTTTCCAGTAGCTTGTGTTTTGAAGGAAATGCTGTTTTCTTTTTTCCTCTCAGGCAGGCCAGACCCCTCTAGAGGTTGCCAGACAGCACAATAACCCCGAGGTTGCGCTCCTGCTCACTAAAGCATCACAGGTACATTACACATCTCTCCCCAACACACACATACACATGGAGCTGAGGCCACTTAATCTTGGGAGGCTGCATCCCCTGCACCTTGTCTTCTGCTGAGAAAGGTTCCTACGTTTCTGATGGCATTGTGGGCTGGGCTCAGATCTGTTGACATAGAGACCTTCAGCCCCCAAAGTGAGCAAGGTGTGCAGATTAAGCCTCAGCATGAAGTGCTGTCAGAGGTCTTTATGTCCTGACTGGCAGAGGGTGGCACTTGTTCAGAGGCACTTGCTCCCTGCAGTGGCCCAGGGGTTAGGAAGTTGCCCTGTACCCTGAAGCTCCTGAGTTGTGTCACTCTGCTGCCTGCCTCAGGCATGTCCCATCCCCAGAAGGGTGGTTAGCACTGGAGGATACTTTGCAATGGGAACAAAATGTTTCTGTCCTGTTTATACTTTGCAGTTGTGTGTGAAATGCTGCAAAGCTCTTCAGACCAGAAGGCAGAAGGGCATGAGACCAGGCACAATCCTTGCTGTCCTCATCCTTGTCACCTCTGCATGAAAAGGGCTGGGCTTGGCTTGGGAACAAGCCCAAGGACAGCAGAGGAGGTGCTCACCCTTCTAAGGGACAGCAGAGTGCCCCAACAGACTGAGCTCAGTGCTGGTGTGTTTTCACAGCCATAAACATATTGCTTGGCTCATCAGTGTCCATCTGGCAGTGCACTCTTCTTTACCTGTTGCCTTTCAGAAAAGGAAAAGGTCTGCTCTAATTCTTGTCTTCTGTGGTAGGAAGGAGCATGACATCACTGAGTAACAGTGTGGTCTGTCTTCAGGTCTCACGTTTTAACCGTGGGAGAAGCCTGAGGAAGAAGAGAGAGAGACTGAAGGAGGAAAGGAGGGCTCAGTCGGTGCCACGGGATGAAGTGGTACAGAGCAAGGTACAGCCTGGCGTTACCAGCTGGATCTGCTGTAAGGAGGGACTGTCATGAAAACCCGTTAAGGAAGCAATCTATTTGGAGCCATCACTGTGCGTGGCCCCAGCAGCTGCCCGAGGCAGTTTGTCATGCTCTGCTGCTAAAGCATTTCCCATTCACGTGTGCAGAGCAGCTTAAAGCTGGGCAATCAAGGAAGAGGCTCCTTTTCCCCATCTCTACAACTCTTCTGAACTCCCTGTCTTTGCTTCAAGCAGGGCAGTGTCTCAGCTGCTGATGACACACCAAGCAGCGACCAGCCCCCAGAGAGGAAGAACAATCTGAAGGATAAACCTCGGTCAGCCTCACCAGATCCTAAAGGGAAAAAGAGCAAAAAGAAAAAGCCAAAGGAAAAGGTATAAGTAGATTTAAAACAGCAGAGAGAAAGAAGGGATAGCTGTTCAGAAGTGGTGTGGGTCCCTTTGGTGTATTGGGGCAGCAGCCCCACCACGCTCCTGGGGCAGAGATAGTCTTCAGATAAAAGTGATTTTTGCTGTAATTGTCACCATGAATTTGTCCCATTCTCACCAGGAATAGTTTACCAAGATGCTTACATAGACAAAACATTGTATGTTACGCAGGTTTCAGCACTCTCAGACCCCATCTCCCCAGCTGATCAGCAGACACTCCCTCAGGCCCAGAAGAACGTGCCTAAGCGCAGAAGTAAACACCACTGCTCCTCTCCACCCCCTCCGCACGAGGTCCGAGCCTACCAGCTCTACACACTCTACCGAGGGAAGGACGGGAAGGTGATGCAGGTGAGCCACTGCCCTCACAGAGGGAGACACTGCAAGCAGCCTGTGGAGCTGGGACACAGGTAATGGACAGAAAAGATGCTCCACTAACTGCACTCTTAGGGGCATGAAATCATGACTTGGGATTGATTTTCCTTGCTTGGGCTTCAGATACATTTTGGCCTGAAGTCTGGCAAACAATAAAGTGGTTTTGTGCCTGTTAAAGAAGACATACTTAAATAGTTTTGATCTGCAAAGATAAGGCATGAACAGTGATTGGAAATGACATGAAAACTTCCATTATATACTTTGGAACATTAAGAGTTCTGACAGGAGAAACAAATTTTTCAAGGAAAAGCAGTGTGTGAGCACCGAAAGCTTACTACCTAAACCAAGAGGTTAAGTAAGCTCAGTAGATTTTGTTCCAATTCTTTCTGGGTTTTGCAACTTGTCTTTGGGTATTCTGTGTTTACTGAGGGCAGGATTTCTATAGAAACTGGTAAACAAATAAGCCTGGAGCTACCAGGCCACATGCATTTATTCCAGTTTGGAGAACAATATTTTAGTCACTTCATTACACAATTACCAGTAGACACTTATAAGAAAGCATAAAAACGGTAATTAAATTATCCTGTAGACACTGTAAACATCTGTATTGTTGTTTTCTTAATATTGCCCCCTGTATTCCTGGAAGGTCTATCCTTTCATTTCCTTAGCTTCTCACATCCATCCATCAGCTCTTGTCAGTCCCTTCCTGTAGTTCAGAATTTCAGCAGATTCTGAAGACCATTCAAGCCAGACTTCTAAGGTTTTACTGGCTGTTTACTGCTTTCCAACCTCTCCATGTAATGTTTGAGAAATTTCCAGACAGGGGCACTATGGAATTATCCTACAGCAGACATCAGGAAGGCTGGGGGACCTTTCATACATTAAAGGCATAAAATGAGCAGAGAGGTGCAGAAGGACTTGGGGAGTAGAAAGGTGCAGAAAGCAGAAAGGACTTGTATACAATTTTGCTCTGTTCACAAAGATTAGCTTAATAGTGCTAGACTCCCATACAGTATTTCCTGAAATACATGATACTCCTCTCTCCTTTTTTTTGCTTGTCTGTCTTCTTTGATGTCCTGAGGCCATGAATAGCAAACATAATTTCTGAAGTACATGTACTTCTGAAGCTTTCTTTAGTACTCAGCAAACCACCCACCTTTCCCTTCCAAGGGAATAACCCCCAATTTAGGAAACATTGCCGTGGGGCTAAAGAAAAGAGGGAGGCTCCTCTGCAGACAGATTCAGAGCAGCTGCTTTGGGCTACTGGCACAGCCCCTGAAGGAGCCACTTTGTGCCTCTGGGCTGCAGAGGAAGCTGATGAGGTTTAGCTGTCCTTGCTTAAGGGAGCCTTTTGTGGCCATCTCCCTGAGAGATTTAAATGTGGTCAGTGAAGCTGCCCTTGCAGAGGGGCCATGGGATGGTGTCACATGAGTCAGAGGCAGGCTCAGGAGTGCCCAGCAGCTGAATGCCAGGAGGGTGACGGCAAACAGAAGCAGCGAGGCCTTGCCATCCAGTACTGAAGAAGGACAGAGCACATGATTGGCATTAGGGTAAAAAACAAATGCACGCAACCCACACGCATCCACAAATTAGATTTTTACAACTGAGAATTACAGCATCGAGACACGGGGTGTAGGCCTGTGATGTGGTATTCCCTCAGCCAACACACAGGGCCTGAGCTCAGTGCTGCTTGTAGCCCCAGTGAAATCAACACTTAGTGTTAGGGTGTGTCCCTACACATCAAACCAATCCCTGTGCAGCTGTGCTTTTTCAGCTAACAGCCCATCTGCTGAGCTGCTGTAAGATACTGTCAGGAGGGTGAGATATAGTACATGGGATAGAAGAACCCAAGACTGAAGGAGGCTGTGATAATGTTCCAAGTGTGCTAAGAGGGTGTTGGGGTGTAGCAAGTCAATGTATCATCATCACTCCTTTCAGGCACCCATAAATGGATGTCGTTGTGAGCCCCTGATAAATAAACTGGAGAATCAGCTGGAGGCAACAGTGGAAGAGATAAAAGCTGAGCTTGGGACAGTACAAGATAAAATGAATATTAAGCTGGGCCAGATGGAAAGCAAAACTCAACATCAGGTAAGAACATGACCTGAAGTTCTGCTTTTCTATATGATTTAGAAACATATCTTAAACTTAAATATTTTCATTGTAATGATTAATTTTTTGCTTCTTGTGTTGTAAAGGCAAACCTGAACTCTAATACTTAAGTCTAGGGAACTGTGACATTCCACTGGGAACTGATGTTGCAAACCAGGGTCTTGAGAAAAAACACATTTAATGTGTTAAGTGGCTTCTGATGCTTCTTTGGACAATGAATCTTAAAGGCTTGAGCCATTAAGAGGGAAAGAAGCCTGGTCCATGACTGGTCATTTCATAATTGTAAAAATCCCTCTTGCTGAATTAGTATGCATTAAGATTCAAGATCCTCTAAATTGCTTTTTAATTTAATAGTTATTCATTGGTAATTTTGTGATTGAGCCTCTTTGCAAGCTACATCTAATTGTAGTTGGCAGTATTTCTAGAAATGAAGACTGAAAGACAGACTGTAGTTTGATTTACAGGGTTCACAGATGGGAGTTTGGTTTCTAACACAATGATCTCAGCTGAACAGTGTTTTCCCCACAGCTCCGAGTTTTGGACAAGCTGATGGCTGAGCGACTGTCGGCAGAGAGGACAGAGTGCCTTCACCGCCTGCAGCAGCACACGGAGCTGGAAAAGAGCGAGGGGGAGAAGCGGCAGGTAGGGCTTGAGACAGCTACTCCCTCTTGGGTAGGCAGGTCAGCTCCCTCCCCTGGTAGGTCAGCTCAGGAGTTTCATTCCAGCAGGCAGAAAATATCAGAGATGTGTCACATCTATTAAAACAGGTAAAAGAGCTTCAAAGACCAAATTATTCCTACCCACCATCTTAGTCACTAAACCAAATTTATGATGTTTTTGCATTAGAAATGAGGAAATCCAGTCCCACTACTGTAATTTAATTTGGTGCATTTCTAGTGTGGGATCTATAACAAAATACCATTTTTCTAACATAGTGATTTGCAAAAATTCCCAGCACTAATTTTTTCACAGTTGTGCTTTCAGCTTTTGCTTATTAGAGGACATATGCAGGAACATATCCAAATAGTAAAAAAGGCTAAGATCTCTGTTGTTCCTTCTTATCCATTTGGTTGTGGGCCTTAGGAATCCCTCCCTTCTTCTCTATCTGACCTGTTTTCCCCCCCATGTATTAAAAGGCTGAAGTTCTTTCCTCTGATGTTAGCAACATGGCAGCATCTCCAAGCTGTGTATTACTGCCAATAGGAAAGTTCTCTTTTGTATGCTTGTTCAACCAGCTGTACAAAAACAACTGTTCCTGTAGAGATCCAGCTCTTGCCCTTTCAGCTTCTGCAAAAACTCACCATGTAAAACCTGCTGAGAAATTTGTGTTTCTCCACTCACACAGGTGAATTTAAAATACAGTTTGTTTTCTCATTATTGGTATTCTTCCAAGAATTGAGAAACACACTTTGTGCTAGGAAAATATCATGAGTGTTTGTAAGGCCATTCCAAATCCATGTAAAAAGACTGACAGCTGTGATAATCCTTGCATAGGACACTGATCAAGATACTTGGGTCTAACATTCACCAAACACTCTTCTCCAAAGAAAAGTACTTGCCAAACTAAGGCAGCTTTAATTTTTATTTTATAAGAGACGTAAGTATTGTATCGGCTTCTGAACATCTAGGCTTGTGCTCCATCTCCTTGTAATCTCCATTTAAGACACAAGATGCTGGAATGATACATCCCTGAACTGAATTAAGTGATGTCAGCTGTTTCTGCTCAGTTGGATCTAATTGAAACATCTGAAAAAACAGAATTGGGCTTTACTAACTAAGCATCCTTGTGCCTAGGAGGGCCTGACCTAAATTCGTGATGTCATATGAACAACAAGGTGAAAAGAGCTACTCCTATTTTAAATTATTTAAGGCATCTGCAGCTGACACTTACTAAGCATCTGTGTAATCTGAAAGTTGTTACTGATTTATCATTTAGTTGGGGACTCACCTTTATGACTGAATGAACAGAGAAGCAGAGGTTGGTAATTGTTTATAGCTGTCCCCTAGAAGTGTCTAATTTGAATTTCATTCTTAAAAAATGACCGTGTGGTGTTCCTTGCACTTAGAAAGTACCATTGACTGTATGATTAAACAAGTCATCCCTGATAAGAGTACTCAGAGTTGAATTGGAAGTAGCATATTCATATCTAAGAGGTGGTAGCTTGGACTAAAGAGACTGCCTTTCATAAGCTAGTGCATAGTTCTCAACCTTTTTTGATCTGCAGTCCTTTAAATATTCCCAGTGGCAGCATGCACATCTGAGGGATGTCTACCTGAACAGGGAGTCTAAGCCCACAGACACCCAGCTTGCTTCTCTTTGTCCCTGCCACATGTCCTCAGCAGCCCAGGAACCATAGGATCTCATCATAGGATTATGTAATTTACGGTCTCTTTCTGATAGATTTCCTTGGTTGATGAGCTGAAGACCTGGTGCTTGTTGAAGATTCAGAATCTGGAGCTCAAGCTTTCTGGAGATTCCAGGTCATCAAGACCAAAATCAACTTTGTCCACTTGTGAGTCTCTCACTGAGACCCTGGATACTGACAACAACCCCAACAGTGCCAAAGACTGTAAAGTCAACCAGCCTGTGCTGCAGTCAGAGGGCTCCCACCAGCATTCCTATATCACACTTCCAAATAGCCTCTTGGAAGATGGGGGAAGGAGCAGAGTCCAGATGCCAGAACAAAGCTTTGGGCAACACTTTTGCATTAAACAAGATGGAGCATTGGGTACAACCACGTCAGGTACTTAGCTGTCATATCCCTTCAAGGGTGAGCTCATTAACTGAGGGGCACTTGTATTATTAATACTACATAATTCTGGTGGTGTGCTTCCCCCCTCCATATGCCTGATGTCTTGGGATTTGAATACACTTCAAGGCAGCCACTGGGCATATTTTAAGAGGTGGCTGGGTGGAATTCCACTGACTGTTCCTGATGCTTCTATTATGTCTTTGAAGCAAAAGTCCTTTGGTGCTTTGAATAACTCTTGGCCCTGGAAGCTTTTGAAGGAAAAAAAAAAAAAGAAATGTGCAGAATGGCCAGGTGTCCACAGCCAAGTAGAATGCTATCTGAGCCCTGGCTTCTGTAAAATACAATTGTAACATACAATTCTATATGTCCCCTAAACACTAAGCATCAACAGGCATGGATGCCCCATCAAATAGAAAGGCATATAAGAGGTCTTGTGGTGCTTGAGTGTGAGCTATTCTGCAGTTCAAAAGCATAGAGATGTGTGTCCTTTCCAAAATTACTGGGACTTCAAGTTTTGTAGAAGCAGGGAGTTCATAAATATCAGCAGACACAACCTGCTTTGGAAATCTAGACTGACAGTTCTTACATGTCCTTCTGACGAAGTCACAGAATGGTTTGGATTGAAAGGGACCCTAAAGATCATCTTGTTCCAACCCCCCTTGCATGGGTAGGGACACTTTCCACTGTACCAGGTTGCTCAGAGCCACATCCAGCCTGGCCTTGCACACTTCTGAGGATGGGGCAACCACTGCTTCTCTAGGTAACCTGTGCCAGTGCCTCACAGTGAAGAATTTTTGGCTAATATCTATGTCCTTGGCCTGCTGTACATCTCTAGCCCCACAGCTGCAATGCAGCACCTCTCTGCCTGGGCCAGCTTTTCTCCTTTAATGACTTTCTATTACATCACGTGACTGTGAAGATGTGATAAGCTACTATAAGCCTGTACAAGGTACACACAAAACCCCATCATTCATCAGACAATAAGGTCTTCTGAGTGCTAAAATAAATGGCCAAATCTTTTCTTAATATATTGTTTATAATTTGTTCTATAGGTACAGAGCAACAGGTAGTGGCTGGTGGACCAGTTTCTTCTTCTGCCCCTGCTCAAGATGTCAGGCCAAAGGACAAAGCTGTGAGTGCCAGCACATTCCACAGGTTCCAGCAGGAGCTGCCCTCCTCCGAGCTTTCGGGCTCCAAATTAAGACACGTTAAAGTTCAAGCTGCTTTGCAGCCAGTGACTGAACCTGCAAAGACTGAACCACAGAGTGGCTACTTCATTGACAAAGGAACTCAGACAAAAAAGTCCAGCAAAAGTGGGCAGTCGAGGCACAAAGCTCTGCACCACGCCGGGGCACAGCAGGGCCAGGAGCAGCAGCCCTCGGCCCCGCCTGCCCCTCCGCTCAGAGACACCTCCCAGGCCCTGGAGATAACCCAGTACTTCTTCGAGGCCGTTTCCACGCAGATGGAGAAGTGGTACGAGCGGAAGATAGAAGAAGCCCGGTGCCAAGCGAACCAGAGAGCGCAGCAGGACAAAGCTGCGCTCAAGGAGCACATCAAATGCTTAGAGGAGGAGCTGAGCAAATTAAGGACTAAGGTGCAGAAAGAGAGCTAGCACCTGCCAGGCAGGTAATCAAACAACAGGACTCATTTGGGAGCCTGGTGTATGGGAATTTGGAATATTGATAGATATTTGTAGTGCCTGTTTCATCCAAACACAACACTCTATTTCAGGAGTAGAAATAACTTTGGAAACTCCATAACTGAGGAGAGTTCATATGCAAACTATATTGATAACAAAGAGATGCTGCAGATTAGATCCTTTCTTTGTTATTTCCAAGAGTCTGTCAATTTTGCACTCTCATTTCCAGATGCTGCTTGAAACCAAACTGCATTAGCAACCAAAACTGCTTTCTGAAAAGGGAATTCCCTTACTTCCACACAGGACACAGACTAGAGGGTTCTACTGTATGCCTATATGTAAACCTGTTGTGTTACCAGTACTGAAATAAATCCAGGGTGTTTGAAGGTTTTTGACAGAATTACTGTGATGAAGGGCTATTGATCCTAATTTGGATACTCCTGGGGCCTCTCTCTAGTCAGTGGAGAGAAGCTACAGAACCCACTCCAGGTACAAGCCCAGGGAGCTGACAGATGCAGGCTTCCAGCTGGGAGAGGGCAGGCAACTGTGGAGGGAGATGTTAAGGCGAAACATTCCGTTAGGTACAGAAGCTTCAGCTACCACTTTGCTTTTCTCTTGGTTTTCCATTATTAAAACAAGTGCTAAATCTGTCTTTTTTTTAAATGGTGTCCTGCTTGCAGAGCTCCTTGTGATTACACTATTAACTTGTCTTTTTTTTTAATGGTGTCCTGCTTGCAGAGCTCCTTGTGATTACACTATTGTTGGGGCTCTACTCCAGTAATCTGACTGAGAACTTTTGTTTAGGGCATACATGACAAGTATTTTACTGTAACCATGGTCTGTTTTTTTAGGTTGAATGTTTATATAAATCTTCTTTCCCTCAAGCAGTAAATGGCTAAATTGTCTACTATTGAAGAAACTTAAAAAACTCCTTTATCCTTTATCCAAGTGAAAACTTGGCTTCCTGTATTCAAATTTTATTTTTCTGCAGTCAGAATTTTTTTCCAGGCACCTTGCCCAAACTGTCTACCTTTTTTCCTCTGAATGATTCCTCCTGTTTTTTCCCTTCTGTCTCTAAAAAGGAGACTTCTGTCTCTAAAAAGGAGACCCTGATGAGTCTACAGGTTTTAGGACAAATGGTCCCACAAACCAGCACTCAACATTTTAGAAGTTTTATCATTGTTTTGTTATAAAATCAGAACTTTCATTGACCAATGCTGTCCATGTTGACAGACTCCAAGTAATCTCAATGCACTGTAACTATTGCATCTGCATCCCTTTAGGGTTTCCTCCTTACGCATCTGAGAAGGCTCCATCAGATTCTGCTAGAAATAGAAGTTTACTTACTTACCAGACCATGACAGAACAACTGTTCAAAATCAGTTTCAACACAGGATGGTACTGTTATGCCAAGGAGAAAAATACTTTTTTTCTGTACTAAGGAGCTCTAAAATCAATACAAAGTACTTTACAGTGTTGAAGAATGCCATTCACTAATTAGTTATTAAGCTTTTGTCTTCTTAGCAGATGTATAAAGCAAAAAAAGTCATATTATATAACAATATTTTTAAAGTTCCTCTTAACGCACTATCACAAGAAGAGAAGTGTATCTGTGGCTATGGAAATACTAGTTTTCTTGCTCTGACTTCTGTAGTCTAATATAGACACTTTGGTATGTTTACAGTTTTGTTTAAGCTACAGTAGGAATGCAGAAGCATGCTATTGAAGTTTTGTATCACCTGGATGAAGTTAATGTTTTGCCCAGCAATTAAAAGTAAGTGTTGCTCAGAAGTGTGTGGTGTAACATTTTCTAGCCACAGAAAACTGACACAGCCCCCTCACTTGACTCTGAAGGGGGAGCAGAAGATTGGACTTCAACTTGTAAGCTTTTTGTTTGTGGTTATGAAACACGAAAGTGGAGTCTGCCATCTGTGCAGAGGGAGGCTGCAGGGACTGAGTGCTGTCTGTTGGCTGGGGCAGGTGCCCCTTTCAAAGTTACAGGCACAGGGCTGAGTTGTGCACAGATCACACACACGCTCCTGAGCTTGCCCAGGCTCAAGGGAGAGGCTGTGGCTTTAGCTCTATTTCCCATACAGACCACACTCATAAGACCAAGCAATTCAAGTAAATCCAAGTAATTACCAAGTAATCTAAGGCAGTAACCAGGCTGCAGGTTACTGATTTTAGAGATTCTCTGAAGCCAATGAGTGTATGGTAAGAGAAGCATTTTCTGCTAATTCCTTTCCATACCCCTCCCTTCTTCAAAACTGTGAAGGACTTTATAAAACAGGTGTGATCTACCTACCTCTCTCTTCAGGTAAATTTACTTACCCTCACAGGCTGTACTTGGACTCTTTAAGTCCAAGGCCGTCCAGTCCAGGCTGGCAATTTTATACTTGGCAAGCCCACAGAGCAGTGGAGATGAAGGGCAGCAGCATTCAAGAGGTCAGCATCTGTCCAGGGCCCTGGCTGTCAGTCCTAACTCTGGATTACATGCCCACAACCTGGAAATGTACAAACTGGGAGTCAAAGGGGTAATGCAGGCTCCAGGCTCCGAAAGGAAAGCACCATGGTGAGGCAACAGGGTAAAGCCTCCTGATTAAGGAACAGAAATCCACTCACTGGCTGAAGGGGAATGGAAGCCTGCTGTGGTAACAGCCAACACTGGTTATGGCTGTTCAGTCAAAATACCATTGTAAGCAGCACTTTCTCTTAACATGAAAAGTAAATCCCCAACACAAAAATGTTCTGGCAGTCTGTTCTACCAGAAAATGTTAATAAAATCTAAATTTTTAATGAAGCATTTTTAGATACATATTTTTCTCTGTCTGCTTGAAGCTCAGAGGCTTTATATAGATCTGAACCACAGCTCCTGCTCTCAACTGGGGTCATTCCTCCTGTAGCCTGGAATTCTGTCCTGTCCCTTCTCTGGTGCCAGTGGTGATACCTGTTTACCAGATTTGCTGCCAGTTTGTGCAGCTTAGCAACTGTGCAGAAACCCACCTTGAAACAGGGGTGCTCCCCGCAAGGGAATTACAGTAGCAGAATGGAAGAGGGAAGAGATCCTGCTTGTCTTGGAATCACAAATTAAAATAGTCAGACATTGATCTACTGCTGCCTCTCTAGTTATGTGGAGAAAATCCCCAGCTCATGCAGGCATTTTAAAATTATATAGAAAAAAAAAAATAAAAGATACACCACAGCTCAAGGAAAGTGAGAACAGCTGCAAGCTAACAATTAGAAGTAGTATAACATTTGAATAAACAAACCACAACTTTTGCAGTTAGTATTTTCTACGTGTAGTTTTTCTTTATATATTGACTCTTAAATACTAGTTTGAAGGCACCCCGTAATAAACATCTCTGGGGCTAAAATCTCCCATTTTCAGGAATAAAGACCTCTCCTTTTAAGTTTTATTCAGCTACTACTGAAAAACAACATCTACACACAAAACATTCTTTTAATGTTTGTTTGTTCTGGGCCAATTTATCCCAAATTCTTTTTTTAATCACAAATTTTGGTGAAAATCCTTGGTACAGTATGTGAACAGTTGTCACTGTGAATATTACCAATTACAGCTACCACAGTAAAAAGCAGACAAAATAATCTGGCATATATTTATTTTCCATTGCACTGGCATTAACACATGTATTTAGCTGTAATTTTTGCAGCTTGCTGCCTTTCCTGCAGCACATTACATCATCCATGCAGTTCTTTAATGTCCTTTGTGTCCAAGTGATTTCCACTTCTTAGGGTAGCAAAACTGAGAAATGGATGGGGAAGGGGAAAAAACAAAACCCCCACTGTGATAGATTCCTCTTCCAAACATTACCAGGTTGCCAGCAAAGGCTGCCAATGTAACCACATTGTAGAAAAAACACTGTGCCTATTTGCAACAGATAAAAATTAAACTGTCAACAAAATGAAGATCAGGATTTTGCCAGCTTAAGTGTTCTCTGAAGTTCCTGAAGTTGCATGTTGCCTTGAGTAATCATCATCCTGATTGCATCCTGTAAAACAGAATGGAATCTAGTGAACTGTACATCTGTACACAGCACGGGTTTTACACAAGCATGCAGACTTTTAATGCATTAAAATACGTTCAATAACATACAGTTCTTACTGGCACTACTGTCATTTACTTCTTCATGTGACATAACACTGCTGTCTCTGAGACACTTAAAAAACAGGTAAATAAATGGATTAATTTTCTCCAGTTCCTTAACAATGTACTTGGTTATGGCTTTGCTTTAAAACTCAGTTTTTAAGAGGATTCAAACCCCTAATAATGTTTTCTTTGTGCCAATGTGTGTGCTGCCTTTGCAAGCCGGTAGTGAGACTAGCACACAAGCATTATGGAGATGGGTTTTACACAGCAGGTGCAGGTTTTTCTCAGCATTATCTAAGGGCTCTAAGGCTTTGTCTGCACAACTCAGACACCAGCTCCTGGGGCGCTGGCTAGAACAGGGAATGAACTAGGAAGCAGAAGACAGCAGATGTACAAGAAATGTGAAGGTTTCTGCATTTCACACTTGCTTCACACCCTTAACCATCCCAGTTGATTGTATTCTGCTTGAATATAGGTGAAACTAAAGTTAAAAAAAAAAAAAGCTATAAAAAGCTTAACCATTACTAAGTTTATGTCAGCTACCATATATATACGGTTTTCTTGATCTGTGGTTTGAGTAAGTAGAGTATTTGTTGTTCAAGTTTTTAATTCCAGATTTTTGTCTAGAAATTTGAGAAACATTACTGCTAAGAGGGGGGACAATATTTAGAGATGCAGGATTATTTCTTTGCATAAATGAGGAAATAGTAACAGGGGACTTGTTCACCAGTCTGGAAGCGACACCTACAAAACAAAGCCCCAAGACACACAGGCCAGTGCAGTGAACATGCCCGAGGCGATCAGAGTTGCGGGTTCGCAATCCTCACCTCTTCTGTAGCATCCTTGTTTCTCTTGAATTCCTCCCTGGCCCAGTCCTTTAAGTAGCGGCGATCCTGCTCAGCAGGGACCTCCCGGATAGCCCGCAGGATTTTGCGGTACAACTGAAGGACCTGCTGCCGCCTCAGGAACTGGCAAGGAGAGAGGGAAGTCTGCCCGCCGCCCCAGGACAGTGCTGCGAGCTGCGCCCTCGGCCCTTTGCTTCGAGAGGCATTTAAACAAACCCCACCGTTTGCACAGGACGCAGCTCGCCCGAGCCCCCGTGCCCCGTACCTGCTTGAGGGTGAGCGCGCCCGGCGGGAGCCGCCCGGCCGCCATGACGCGGCTCCGCCCCTGCCCCGCCACGGGGCCGCCGGGCCCGCCCCGCGCGGGCGGGGCAAAGGCCGCCATGTCCGGCGCCATGGCGGCTTCCCGGCGGCGGCACGGCCGCTCGGCCTGCTTCAGGTCTGATCAATTCAAGGCGCAGACGTCGTAATTACAAAGAGTGGTACCTCTCTTTATTAGTACAGACGATACAAGATGCATAGCCTTCTCAATGAAAAATCACGTCCGTGCTCCAAGACGCCGGATTTATGAAACATCCCCAACGCCTGCCTCGGACAGGGGCGAACTTCACAGTGTAAAGTGGTAAGGCAGGGGTCAGCATATGGCGTGATTCAGAACACTCCCTGCTGCTATCGTCAGGCAAAAATCGGCAATAATTAAAAAGGACGTGGTAAAACCGCAGAATAGTTTCAAGTATTCAAGTACTTTTTTTTTTTTTTTTTTGGTTGATTAAAACCATCTGGCTCCCCTGCTCCCCACTCCTTCCTTCCCAGAGGCACCTCCACACGGGTGATGCTGAAAAAGGCTTTATTTGCGAGACACCTCAACTTCTAATGCAGAAAAGCCTTCCCAGGAACAAGGCTGGTTTTACTTATGGCAGGGAGGGAGCAGCAGGAATAGTATTACCTCTGTTAATATTACAATTTTTTTTTAAAGGTAATAAATTATTACAAGAGAATTTAAGACAAGTTTTACGTTTCTTGTGGGAATAGCAGGACGCAGTCTCACCATTGCATAATTGTCCTGTGACACAGGTGGGAGGATGCCCCCAAACCATTCTGTTCTTACACAGTCTCTGCCCCAGGGCAGCTCCCGCAGGATAATTAATCCCAGTTAGGAAGAGCTTTATGACCCCTCCCATGAAATGCAGCTTCTTGTATTTCAGCAGTTCAGCAGCAGCAATGGGGTCCTGACCTTGTCTACAAAGTCTAAAGAGTGTCGGAGGCAGTCACCAGCTCAAACCACTGTCTGAGGGCATCGCTCAGAGTTTCTGGGAGCGCGTTCACATCTCTAAGGATCATGTAGAACGGGAATGGGAATTCTTCCATGTAAGACCTGATTTCAGGCAATTCTCCAGGTGCTTTGAATATAGGTACTTTAATGTCCAAAATAGAATCCTGTAAAAAAAGGGCTGATGTTACTACTAAATGATGCACATATTCCATGATCACTAATAGAATTTACCCTACTTTCTAAGTACTTATAATTCTCCCCCTTAGATTAAAAGTTAATAAAATACTTTTAAGATTAAAAGCTCTAAGTGTTCAATGGTAAATCAGATCAGAAGCTGAACATAAATCAGTTAAATTCTTTTGCCCTTCTAGATAAAAGTGTACTAATCCATGAATTATAGGCTAGAAGGGACTATGCTTAAGCTTCTGCAATACCAAATTCTGTAAATAAATTCTGGCTTTTCTTAGGATTTTATGAGTTGAGTTTACTGTTGGCACTTTAGCTTTATTAATCTGATGTCTTCCCGAGAGAGTCTGTAAGCTCTTTAGTGCTGAGTTCAACTCATATTTGTGCAGTGCTCTAACAGAAGATTCTTTAGCAACTTCATAGTATTTCAACAAATACTACAAAGACAAAAATCAAATTAAACTCCAGCTGTGCTTCTTGTAAAGTAACTTCTTAGTTGCTCAGTGTAGCAGCTCAGAAATTAATAAAGGTTACGGAAAAAACACATTTTTTTCCTCAGAAAAAAAAAGGTTAGAAAGGGAAAGACACCCAGAATTTTCCCCTGATACTGCAGCCAGGTTTCATCAGAACCTTTCAGCTGTTTGTCAGCAGGAGAACTGTTAGTGTTTCCACACTAAATACAGCAGATGAGTTTTGTATGCAAAAATAAAGATACAGGAAGAAAACACGAACCACAAAATTAGTCTTTACCACATAATTCTCTGTCAGGCTTGTGTGCTTACTTACTGCACTACAGAGCCTTCCTGAAACACTCCCAGGTATTTCAGCTTCCCATCCAAGGATATCTAAAGTTTTCTTCCCCCATTTCCAGATGCAGGACTCAGCTCTCCCGACCGAGGCACTAAATAACTCTCACATACTCCCTTCTGTCTGATGTTTAATCTCATACTGGCTCCAGCTGTCATGTCAATTGGGGACTGCTGTCAGAAATTATCAAGCTGAATCAGAGCTGAGATGGAACAAAGCATGTCTCAAACTCCAAATCTGTCAACCTGCCAGCTGCTTCCCTGGTGGCCAAGAGCTACAAGCATTCTGTTTGAAGATGGGAGCTCTTAGCCTTTCTGTGGCATGGAAGCTGAGATATTTTTTTTTTAAATACAAAAGATAAAAAGCACAGCAGGAAGAAATGGTAGATCTGGCAGACGTGGAAAACTGCACTTGGTTTCAGTATCTCTGACCTCTACAAAAGATAAGGCAGCTGTATGGCACTATAAAAGACACGAAAAAGATTTGTATCGGTTTCTTATTCACTGCAGTTGAATACTTCTCCCTTGTTCACTTACCCGGGAATTAGGGTTGTCCAACACTACGAAAATAACAAAGATATTGGCACTCCGAGCTGCTTGAACTGCTGCTGTCACCCGTTCCTTGCCTTCCAAGAAAAGGCCTCTTCCATCAGATACAATCAAAAGCAGCTGCGCTGTTTCTGAGCACAAAGAACATTTAAAATTCCAGTAAGTTCAGAGTAAAACGTTTAAAGGGCAAAAGCCCCTATTTTCTGTTTGCCTGTGGGTATAATGGAAAAAGGAGTATTCCTAAAGAAGTTAACTCTTAATCTAATATAATTCTGTCAAGTCAGTCCAATGAGTCTGAAGTAAACCTCCTGAACCAGACATAGCACCCATGCTGGATTCCTCAGCACCAACCATTTCTGGAGACATTTTACTTGACCCAAGTTGCCCCTAGATTCAGATACATCCCTCTAGAGGTACATTCTAAGTTATGTATTTAGTTACACGTAAAATCACAGTAATTACACTCAGGAATGCAAGCCCTAATTGTTACAGGGGGATGCAGAACGCACTTCTGCAGACAGGCCCCAAATGTGACAGGGCTTTGTCCTTTTACAGAAGGAGGTGATGGATCCTACAGCCTTTTCTCTTGCCAGCTCCCTAATCCTAAAGAGCTGATTGCTGCTGCATCCCCACCTAGTTTAACAGAACTGGATGCTGCTCCCCCTCAGAATATTGTGACACCCTGGCCACCCTGTGGCAAAGCAGTTGTGGATTATAAATCCCAGACTGTCCAGTTCTTGGAGTACTTCAACAACAAGAAGTTATAAAAACACAGCTGCCACAATGACAAGCTTTTAACTACCACAGAGCAATCTTTTAGACTAACTATGGCGCAGACACGAGGCAAGCAGTCTTCAGCTGTTCTTGGAAATTCAAGCAGCTCGTGACCTAAAGTTGCAGGACAGTGAAAGCAAGTAGGAGGCAAATTCCCTCCTCAGACCAGTGTGCTTCTGGATACTAAGAGAAATCAAGCTCTAAAGCAGGAGCAGAAGTGCCTAGAGAGTCAGGGTCCTTAGGAAGCTGGACAGTGCTCCAAGCTGACACTGTCTATGCCTTAACACAGTCTGGAATCAGGAGGTAAAGGGAAACAGGTGAGGTGTGCCTTTTTAAAAAGTCTTACACAAAATTTTAGTGAATTATTAACAAATATGAAATAGGTGTCATCTGGGTATTGAGCTAAATTTCAACCAGACATTACTTTTGACAAAACACAACCCAAAGCCCTAATGCAAGTGATGTTTCAGTCCTAGGAGTCTTCCTGGCAGGATCCTGCTTCAGGACTGTAGTGAGCATTCCGCTGCCATGGCAACAAGCACAGTAACACAAAAAACTCACCCGGATTAATATTTTGAGACAACTGCTGTGCTGCAGCAAACATATTTGCTGATGATTCTAGAAACTGCAGAGGAAATAAATAAGAAAATCAAGTTATCTCATCTTAAAAATAATAAACTTAAAAATGAAAACATTTCTAAAAAACACCTTTCTCTATTTTAAATGCTAAGACAAACAGTCTGACCACCTAACACAGATACAGTTCTTAGCATTTTCCTGTATTAACTCCTGCTTTAAATTTAAATTTATTAAGTACTTTTGAACTAAAGAATCTTCAGAGAGCCTTCAAACAGAATTAATTTTTTCCCAATACTAGCAAAGCCATCAACACAGTACACTGCTAATGAGATTAATGGCATAATTGAAAATATACATCATATTTCTAGGTTGGACTTCTTTGGCTTCAGCTTGAAACAGAAGTATCTAGTCTCGTAATCCCCATTAAAATTAAGAACATCATCTGTACCCAAAATACTTTTTAAGACTCAAAACAGAGAAAAGTGAATGCTTAAAAGAAGTATACTTCAGAACTAAAAGTGAGAAAACACTGTTCCTGTTAAAAAATTATGACCATTTTATTTCTTTGTCATCTAACCTGCTATCAGACTCTCAAATACAAAAAACTAGTAAGTGTTACAAAGTGATCATGAAACCATGAAGCTGCTGATATCTTGTCTGGAGAAGATTGGTACTGTTGCCCTAGAGACATTCTTGTGTACCTGGGCTATTTTTGTTTTCTTCTGTTGAAACTTGCAGAGACGCAATATCCGTGTCCCTGACTGGTCACTGAACTGCTCGTGGAACGGGTGCAGCAGCTGAACAGTCTCTCCAAAGCTTCAGAAAAGGAGAGAAAATTACAACATGACACCAGTATTTATATTCTGCTCTGAAGTACTGAAGAAAAGTCGAGATTTCAAACAAACTCACCTACAAACAGCAATTTGTCCCACTTCTAGAAGAGTCAGAGCATTTCCAATAACTGCCAAGGATTCATATGCAAGCTATTAAAGAAAAAAGTTGCATCAAAAATACCATAGTCAATGTTTTACTCAAAGCCCAGTATTAAATATGAAGAATTTTACTGAAATTATTTTTCATCATCTAGAAAGATAATCGAAGAGATTGCCTCTCATATGTAAGACAGTCAGTTCAATAAAGATACACTAGTTCTGCTTGAGGGCTTCAGCTGAT